GACCTGGGTAGTATTTCTGTTTTTTTGTTTGTTTCTTCCATGGATATGAGTTTTAAATATCCTGAAGTTTCTTCCTTATCATTATAAATAAAGTGTTGAAGTTTTGTGCAGTGTTTTGCTTTTTCAATATTCTCTTCTGCTATTAAAAATTTGTGGCCTCTTTAAGAATTGTAATGCAAAAATAAATAAATAAATAAACACACCAAAAAAAAATTGTGGCCTCTGATTTTAACTGTAATTTTAACCAAGGGTAAATGTAAGAAATAGGGGCTTGTAATCTTGGGGGTCTATGGTAGTCACATTTTTCTCAGTGATTTACAGCGGGCCTTTAGGTGCTAAGACATTCCCTTTGTCCTACATGTCACATCTTCTCCCATGTGTTGTTTGCATTTTAACTTTGCAGTGACTTTTGCTTTACAGGATTTTTATGCTGTCTGCTAGGCAGTCTTTAATTTTATAATCTCTGACTTCTATAAACATTAAAGAGGCTTCTTTCAAAATCAGGATTATAAGAATAGTTGCTCATATTTTTTTCTACTGCAGTGTTTTCATAGATAACTTTTAAATCTTTGATCCATTTGGAATTTATTTTGGTGTAAGAAATAAGTTCAGGGGGTGAGGATGTAGCTCAGTGGTACCAGGCATGCTTAGCATGGGAGAGGCCCTGGGTTTCATCTCTAGCAAAAACAACAACAACAACAACAACAAAACAAAACAAAAAAAACCCCCAAAACCACACACACACACACACACACACACACACAAATGCATTAGGAATCCAAGCTTACTTAATTTGGGGAATAGCTCATATATTGTTTTAGTAAAATGCATTAAGCATACCTTCTCCAATGCTTTGAGATGACACCTAATCATATATACATTGTCATGTCCCCCCGCCCCACACAATGGCAGGTTGACTTAGTTGGTCAGAGTGTGGTGCTGAGATCCCATTGCCTCTATTGTGGAGCTTCTGTGGGTTTAACTCATCTGTCCATTTACAGATGCTGCTCAACTGAAGATGGGTTCATATCTGGATAAACGCATTGAAAGTTGAAAATGTCATAAAAAGCAAATGATGCACTTAATATACCTAACCTGCACGGCCACTGTCGAGTGCCAGCTGCTGTTTCTCATGATCTTCTGGCTGCCTGGGTGCTGCCCAGCACCCCGAGGCAGAGTCTTTCCCCATATCTCAAACTCAAAATTTGAAGTATAGGTAAATATACCACCAATAAGTTTTATGTTGAGTCACCATAAGTTGGGACCTTCTGTGCATACCCACACCACTTTCTCACATAAAGAGTAATCACAGCTTTGGGCTGGGGGTATAGCTCAGTTGGTAGAGTGCTTGCCTCACATGCACAAAGTCCTGGGTTCAATCTCCAGCACCACACACACACACACACACAAAAAAAAAAAGAGTAACCACAGCTTTGAATACAAGAATTGGTAGCATTAGTTCTTACACAGTTTTCATTTTTTTTTCTTTCTGAAACTGGGGGCTGAACCCAGGGGCACTTTACCACTGAATACACCCCCAGCCTTTTAAATTAATTAATTAGTTAATTAATTAATTTGAGACAGTCTCCCCTAAGTTGTCCCAGGCTGGCTTTGAACTTGCAGTTCTCCTGCCTCAGCCTTCAGAGTCTCTGGGATTACAGACATGCACCAATGCCCCCGGCTCACAGTCTATTTTTTAAAGAATGCCTTGGTTCTTCTTGTATTTTTATTCTTCCACATGGATTTTTAAAAAAATACTTTTTACTATACCCAGGCATTTAATTCATTTATTGTTTTTTTATTCTGTATTGATTTTTTTCAAGAAAACAAATTATAAAAGTAACATCTGTTTGCTAGAACAAATTCAAACAATGCAGAACAATGGAGAATACGCCTGGCAACTCCCCCTCCCCCTTTTCCAGAGCACCCCAGCAGGGGCTCCTACCAGCCACATGTCCAGTGTCATTTCGGACTTTCTCTTCTGCTTATGCATAAACACACCTCATGAAGTGCCTCCAAAGTACCAGTGATGTTTTGACTAGGATTGCTCAATAAATATTTGGAAGGAAATATCTTCTTTCATGTTTTTGGATTTCAAATCCTGTAGTGCCTAAGTGTTTCTTTTCTTTCTTTCTTTCTTTTTTGACATATACCCTGTTACAACATCACAGAATATCTACACCACAGAATCATGGGAGACAATTTATGATCATAAAACACAGTTTAAAGATATGTCTTTATAGCATTTCTCAAAGTGCATTCTATAATAGGTAGGTCCTGCAAGATATTCTGCAAAGAAAATAAGTGTTCCTTAGGCTGATGAGTTTGGAAATACACTTGGTATATTTGGATATTTGTAATTCAGGGAAATATATTAGAAATGCTGTTAAATCTTACTATAAAGGCTTACCAGTGTTTTCCAGGTTTATTTTATCAGGAAACCTATTTCTGCCTTTTGACACGATGCTCATAGACCCAATTTGGGAAATGCTTAGTTAGGCTGATGGAGCCCTTGACTGGGGGTAGGTAGTAAGGAATGTAGAATAACTCCCAGTCATCCGGCTTTGATAATGGGTGATTGGTGGTGTCATCCACTGAGGTAAAGAATAAAAATGGAGGATCAGTTTTGGATAAATTAAATTTTGATGCCTCTGGGAGGTTGGAATAGAGATGTTTAGTAAGCAGAGAATATTTAGGTCTGGGACTCAGGTGAGAGGTCACAGCTAGAGAACCGTGGGTCAGAAAGTTTGCTTCGGATTAAAGCGTGTTGTCTAAAAAGACCCATTTTAAAATGCACATATATTACCTAGGAAGGGTAAGCACTAAATTATTAATACGTATTATATTATCATATTAGCTTCCTATCATTTGAAAGCAGAGATCAGGCCCCTGAAGGGATGGAAATCAGAACTGGTGAATTGTGGGTGGAGGGTCAGCAAAGAAGGGTCTGAAGTGATGATTTCCAACCTCTTGGAATCTGAGGGCTGCTTTTTTAATGTTAAAGAGCCTGCCAACTGCCCCCAGACAGTCCAATTCTCCTAGGCTTTGATTGGGAAAATATGCCCTGGCCAAAACTTTCCCGAGTTAACTTTGAAAAAAATCAACCCAAATTTAGTAAGTGGTTTCCTTACTTCGCTTGTGACAGCGCTGCGGTGCGTATGGGTCCTGTCCTCTTGTTGCTCCTGTTTCCGGCTGAGATGGATTCAGGCAACCTGACTCTCAGGCCTTGGCCAAATACTGTGCTCATGTCAAGGGAGATGATAAGCAGAGGGAGAGGAAGATGACGGCACATGTTTTAGGTCCGTCACCTGCATTCTTTTTATCTGGTTCCTGTTGAAGGGAGAGAAGGAGGTGTGCGAAGAAGCAAGTTCTGGCTCTTTCTGTGGGTTTACCCCCACCACTAACTAGGTGACCCCAGAGAACACTTGCGGGCTCCTCTGCAGTAACTCTCAAAATGAGATAATAGCAATAGCTTTTCTTGCCTCCCAGGGTCCTTCTGCAGAAGTCAGTAAGATAAATAGTTGCGAAAGTAAGGAGGAAGGTTAAAAGTACTCTAAAATGTGAGGTATTTTCATGGTTGCATTTTAATATGGCTACCACTAGGTATCCTGAAGGTAGCAATTCCCCGGGAGGGGGCTTAATCATCCGGGCTCACCGTAGGGTGGACTCCATTTAACCTGTGTGTTCCAGTTGATTGGGTTATTGTGTGTAGATTGCAGGAATTTCAAGCTCTATTCCATCTTTTTCCTTTTGATATAATTTTAATGAGATTTCCCTCATTCTTTTATTGCATGGCAGGCGACCGCTAGAATAAATATAAAGAATTTTTTTTTTTTTAAATGCAGGAAACAGGAGGTCTGGGGAGATGGGAAAATGCAGAGGGAGAGGCAGGGGATCAGGGTGGGAAGGCTGTTCTCAGATCTGCATGGTCTCTTGATGGCTTTAGAATTCCTGGTGCCCTGCCTTCTGTGCAGGCACTCTGAAAGATAAGAAAGGAGACCTCACCAAAGCCACGGAGAGAAATGTCTTTGTTAATTGCTTCAAGAGTAACACATCCCTCCCAGAAAACTCCATCACCAGGAACCCATTGCTTTCTTTGTATTTTACAGGGGAGGTCTGCATACTCCAGATTTCCCTACTCAGTCAGTGGCTTCTAGGGCGATTCTCTTGAAAGGGAAATTGTGTGGGATATTCTAGGATGCTTAAAATGCTTTGGAGATTTTAGAAGAATATATTTTTTCATTAGAAAAATGTAAGTCACATGTAAAAGCCATCTATCCTGCTGTGAAGGGGGTTCATTAGTCAGTCTTCTTCCTTGAATACTAGTAACTCCATCGCTGAGGAGGGCGTTGTTAACCACCAAGCATTTCATTACTTAGGGATTCATTCTGCTCTTCTCCTCTGAAAGTGTGTGAGTGTGTGTGTGTGTGTGTGTGTGTGTGTGTGTGTCATGTTGGGAGGGGAGAGTAGGGGATCAGAACATGTCACCCTGGCATATGATTTGCTGGGGACCCACCTCCAGGCAGCCACTCCAGATATTATTTTGAGCTAAAGACAAGTGAGGAACAGCAAATATATAAAAGAAGCTCTCTGCCCTTCTCCCTATTTGCCTAAAACAAGGGTAGACTCTTCATCATTGGAGACAACTCTAGATTCCTATCAGCCTATGGAAAGCACCGAGAGGAATCTATACAACAAACTTTACAAAAATTACCCTTATCTTCCATTTATTTTCCCCATATATTTACCTTCCCATGGTTTGCTGCTCCCTCACGGCCTAATCCCCTTCCCCTAACCCTTCCAAATTTATTTTTTTGTGTGTGAAGACACTATGTAAGCCCCCAATTCTGAATACCCCCGTGAGTTACTTATCACAGAGTTTCCCCCACCTGTATGCATGCTGCCTATGTTGACATACTTGGTTTTTCTCTTTTTAATGTGTCCTCTTGTTATGCTCAAGTTCGGGACCCCCAAAAGACCACCAGAGACCAAGATCGATGTAAACAGCAAAGAGGTGTTTATTGCGAGCTAGCTCTGTCCTCTGCACGCACACAGCAACTGATCATGTTGAGAGGCCCCAGCCCAGGGTTTGCAGCAGTTTTATGCACTCTTTGGGGATGGCAGCGACTTCACATACATCATAGCATCTCTTAGCAAATCATCACACACTGTGGGAAAATCAAACAACAACTCTGAAACATGATTAGCACATTCACTGGTGGGAACAAGTTGGGTAAGGGTGATTGGTTAGTACAAGTGTGGAGGGGGATTCGTTTGAATTGATTGGTTTAAGCCACGAGGGGAGTACATGCTAAACTACATGGTTTCCCAACATGGTATCAACCACCACAAACTACTGGGAGGGTCATCTGGCATCCCAGGTATTTTCCCTGTCTCATGCTGATTGGTGGTTGTTAGGTGGTTGCTATGGGTCCCCACCTAGCCTGACTGAGTCAGGGATACCTGGTGCCACAGATCTCTCCTGTTATTTGCAGACAAACAACTCAGAAGGGTTGGTATGTGCTTAGGAGTGCTCTGTGGGTCTTTCCAAGGACAAGGGTCATGCCTCCTTCCTTGGACAGGCTTTGCTCTGAGGTAGAGGCTGGTTTCTCAAAGGAGTTACATCAGTTTCTCACTCTGTCTGTTTAATTTCAGGCCCCTGGCAAGAGAACCCAGGAGGGAGCAAGAGAAGTGTAGATACTGGATATACTGTGAAGTGCATCATTGCAACTATTTAATCCAATAACCCAACTAGATGTCAGTTCTTCTGTTTAGTTGACAAGACACAGAGAAATTATCAATTTGTTAAAGTGAATAGCTTAAAGTAGCTAGGCTAAAGTTTGAATATAAGTCTGATTCTTGGTTAAATTTTTCCTGGTATATAAAAACAAAACAAAACAAAAACAAACAAACAAACAAAAAAAGTCCTCTTTAGTTTGATTCAGAAAGGCTGTCTTAGTCCCTTTCCTGTTACTACAACAAGATGCCTGAGGCTGGAAATTTTATAAAGAAAATGGGTTCATTGACATCACAGTTATATGGCTGAAAATCCAAGGTCCAGTGGCCCCTATCTGTTGGGTCTGTGTTGAGGGTACCCTTAGTTGCATCAAATATGTTGGATGAGAAGCTGCACAAGGAGGGAGCTGAGCATGTAAGGCAGCCTCACTTTATTATAACAATCCACTTTTGCAGGACTAACCCCGTCCCCCATGAAAGCCACATTAATTCTTTTCAAGGGCAGCACCCCCAGTGACCTAAGCATTTCCCATCAAGGCTCACCTCTTTAAAGGTTCTCTCCCCTCTCAACATGGCCACCCAATGTTCCTGGCATGTGGACTTGGAAGGGACACACTCCCACCTCATCCAAGCCATAGTAGTGGTAAAGAAGTTTCGTCTCATATTTAATATCTGGAGTGGCTGCCTGGAGGTAGGTCCCCAGCAAATCAATTGCAGGCATTTTCAGGCAGAGAAGGATGAGGGCGGAGTCATATCAGCCTTTTCTTGTTGAGAAGATCTCTATCAACCTTTTAGATATTGCTGCGCTCTAGTTCTTTGGGCCAATTATGAAGTTTTTGAACAAAGGAAGGGAATAAAAAAACATATAGGGGCATAGAGAGGATTCTCTGCAAGTATGAACCTCCACGATGAGAGGGAGGGATCAGCCAATGCCCTAGAAAATCCCCCGAAGATTTCATAAATTCTCTCAGCACCATTTGTTTTGTAGGGTTCCTTTTGTTAAAGCCCAGCAGGCTGTCCCGGGGGTGCAGGCCCTCCATGCTCTGGAACTTGGGAGTTAATGCCTCTGTAAAGAGGGCCTCATAGGATGGAGTAGAATATGGCCCAAAGAATCAGCGGGATCTGCCATTATAGATGTCATCATGAGGGCACATGATCAACCAGGCTTGGGTAGGTGAGCCACAGCCATTAGGACTGACGGTGGGAAGCGTGGAAACCATATTTACAGGGTCACTGTCTGGTTTTCTTATGACTTGGGGACAATTTCAGTGATTTCTTTCAGGACGGAAATTCCTTACAGTAATTTGACTTACTTTGCTCTGCCAATTTTACTCACTATTTACTTGGAGCATGTTACAGCTGCCAGCGCGGGAACTCCACCGTCAGTTTACATCCTCCTGAGGTATTTGAGTACAAAGAATCCCATTCCCCTGGCTCCAGGCTCTAGATCAGTGGTTCTCAATCCTGGTTGTACATTAGGATCCCCCGAGGGGTTGTTAAAAATACTGATGGCTGGGCCCCTTCCCAGGAGGGTCTGATTTAATTGGTCTAAGTGGGACCCTATCATTGGTATTTTTTCAACAGCTCCCTGAGTGTTCCTAATGAGCAGCCAAAATTGGGAACCACTGCTCTGGATGGTTGCCTCATCCTACATAACCCGTCAACTGGAGTCTCTATGGCTTCTGGGGCTGTGCAAGTACATGGTGCCTTTGTATGAATTCGAAAAAGGGGACTCTCTTCCTGCACATGCTGGAAAACGTGCTGCTTCTGGATTGATACAGCTACATGGGCACATGGCCTGGCAAGAGGAGTGCACAGCCTTCGCAGATCTGCAGGTGAGGCCTCATGCCTTCCTACTTAGGAGGCTTCTGGTTTATCAGAGTTTCTTATGAGGTTCTCTCCTGGGTCTTGGCCTTCAGAAAATCTCATCTTTTTAAAAAATTATATACAACAGCAGAATGCATTGCAATTCTCATTACACATATAGAGCACAATTTTTCATATCTCTGGTTGTATACAAACTATGTTCACACCAATTTGTGTCTTCATACATGTACTTTGGATAATGATGTCCATCACATTCCACCATCGTTGCTAACCCCCTGCCTGCTTCCTTCCCCTCCCACCCCTCTGCCCTATCTAGAGTTCATCTATTCCTCCCATGCTCCCCCTCCCTACCCCAGCCTCCTTATATCAGAGAAAACACTTGGCATTTTTTTTGGGGGGGATTGGCTAACTTCACTTAGCATTATCTTCTCCAACGCCATACATTTACCTACAAATGCCATGATTTTATTCTCTTTTATTGCTGAGTAATATTTCATTTGTATATATGCCACATTTTTTAATTCATTTATCTTCTGAAGGACATCTAGGTTGGTTCTACAGTTTAGCTATTGTGAATTGTGCTGCTATAAACATTGATGTGACTGTGTCCCTGCAGTATGCTGGTTTTAAGTCCTATGGGTATAGACCGAGGAGAGGGATAGCTGGATCAAATTGTGGTTCTATTCCCAATTTTCCAAGAAATCTCCAGAAAGTCTCATCTTTTTAAAGAAATAGAGAAGGAACACTTATAGAATGTGAGAAGCTCTACAGATCCTTTCCTCAACCTAAAAAAAATTCGAACTGGTGAGCAACCTTAAAGCAATCATTTGAGGTTTCTGGAGCTTGTCATAAGGGCATACAGTGAATGGGAAAAACATTTACTTAAGAAAATGTACTAAGTCTCTGTAAGAATGGTGAGTCTATGGCATTTGAGCCACAATCCCCACCCTGCCCCCACCCTTGGCTCAGTGTGGTGAAATCTCTAGTTCATGGGAGTGAACCAGAAATTCCTGGGCAAGAAGACAGGAATTTCACTCTCCCTAGCTGCAGTCTAGGGCTGCCACTTCTTCCTGTAGTGGAACAAGCTGCGAGAATTTCTCCTTCCCCATTGCCTAGCTCCGTATTGTAGAAGCTTTATTCTAAGCAGGCTGGGAATAGTGGGGTCCGATGTCCCTTACCTCCACTCATTCAGGGCTTCCAATTGGCTTGCCAGGCGAGAAGACAAGCCAGGAAGATGAGGGCTACTGCCCTCTCAGGGCTCTCACTCTAAGGGAGTCAGATTTTGGTCCTTGCTTCTAGCTCCAAAGCATTGGGGCACAGGGATTTTGTCCAGTGGGAGGGGCAGAATGTTCCACAGCCAGCCCTAAGGGGAATTATTGTATTGGGAACAAAGTGCAGTCAAGTTTAAGCCTGAGAGTAGTATCAAAAACAATGAGGATTTGAGCAGTAAGCAATTTCAGGGAAGCTGGTAACCAAATGATAGCAACAAGTTAAACCATAGAACAGAAAGAATTGGGGAAACAGACAGCTAAGAAGAGCTATCCTGGAGTTGAAGATGCTTTTTTTTTTTTTTTTTTTTTTTGTTTCAAAGACTGTCCTTGCAAAGGGGTTCAAATTTAACTAGGTTTGGATGTGGAGCCATTTACGGCCCATAACTTGGCTGAAAACAATAGAGTAATCAGCTAGCAATTTGTGGAGCCTAAGAGCTGAGTGTGACATCAGTAAAGGCAGACCATTAGGGAACTAGAAGATCATGGAGGGAAATAGCAATGGAGAGCCTTAGTAAAGCAACTGTCACCTCAGGGTGACTGTGAATATATCCCACAGTGCACTTTCTAAGGAGTGACGAGAGAGTTAGGAGAAAGAGGCTTCACATTAAAGAGTCCAGTCAAGTCACTAGACAAACAAACAAACAAACAAGCAAACAACACTAAAAACAAGACCCAGAGAGGTGGTGGTGGGGAATAATAGAGCTGTTCTAATCTATTGTCAAAATTTCCAGTTTAAAAAAAAAATCACAAGACTTACAAAGAAACGGGGAAGTAACTCATACACAGGAGAAAGAACAGTCAGCAGAAACAGCCCTCAAGAAGACCCAGGTGTTGGACTTATCAGACAAAGATTTTTGAGTAATTATTATAAATATGCTTAAGAACAAAGAAAACTTTGCTTAAAGAAGTAAAGAAGGGTATGGTGACAAGGTTTCATCAAATAGGAAATTTCAATAGCCATCAAAACTGTATGAAAAGATCCAAACAAAACTTTAAAAAGTACAGTCACAAAGATCAAAAGATCATCAGATAGGCTCAACAATATGTTTGAAATGGCTGAAGAAGGAATCAGTGAAATTGAAGACATACGGGTAAAGGTAATGCAAATTGAAAAGCATAGAGGAAAAGAATGAGTAATAACGAACTCACCTTAGAGAAATGTGGGACAGCATTAAGCACACCAGAATATGCAAGATGGGAGTACTAAAAGGAGAGGAAAGTGTGAAAGGGGTGGAAAAAAATATTTGGAGAAATGCCTGAAAATATCCCAAATTTGATTAAAAAATAAATTTACTCATCTAAGAAGTTCACAAACTTCAAGTAGGAGCGATGCATATCAAGATACATTATAGTTAAAATGTTTAGAGTCAAATATAAAGAGATGATCTTGAAAACATCAAGAGAAAAATGACCCAGCAGGAACCAGGGAGCCCCAATAAATTAACAGCCAACTTCTCATCCGAAGCAATGGAAGCTGGTGGTGTGAGGGGGGACAGCAGATGACATAATCAAAGTGGTATAAGAAAAAACAGGCAGCCAGCATTCTTGTATCCAGCTAAACTGTGTTTCAAAACTGAAGTGAAATAAGGAAATTTACAAATAATAATAAAAAAACCCCATTGTTAGCAAACACATCTTCAAAGAAATGCTAAAGTTTGAAAATGAACTGATTGAAGAATCAGTGCTGAGAAAGGTAAAATTAACTCTGTAGAAATTATAGAAAAAAAAGATAAATGTTTTTCTTCCTTCATTTTCCAGATCTAAAGCCATTCTATCATTTATCTATCATCTATCTGCCTATTTCTATATTGCTGGCCTATTACATAGACATATTTGGCAATAATAACACACAGGAGTTGGGCAGGAGAAAAGTTGTATTGGTATAAAATGCCACTGGGGTAACTGTGATTTATAGGTACAAATGAAAACAACCAGTAATGGTAAATAAGGTTAACATAATAAACTCTATACTTACACACTCACTCTCATTTATTCAGCTTCTTTAAAGATATGATTATATGAAGCAATAACAATGTATTTTTGGATTGGCAACTTATACAAGTGTGTGTGTGTGTGTGTGTGTGTGTGTGTATAACTACAAGAAATAGAACTATCTTGGAGTAGCATTTCTATATCTCACTGAAATGAAGGTAGTATAAATCTGAAGTAGATTCTGATAAGTTGTATATTGTAAATCCTAGAGCAAGTTCTAAACCCCCAATAGTGAAAAAAATCACTAAAAATTATAATATTATACTAAATGATATTTATTTAGCATAAAAGAAAGAAGTTAAAGAGTAATGGAGGATAAAAAGACTTGAGACTTTTGGAAAACAAAAAATAAATGGTGGTATAAATCCAACCCTATCAATAATAACATAAATCCAAATGGAATAGACAATAGGAAACGTAGCAGGGATTGTCAGAGTGGATATAAAACAAGATCCAAGTTAGATGCTGCGTGCAGGACACACACACACATTATGCAAACAGCAATCACAAGGAGGTTGGAGTAATTAACTGATATCAGAAAAACAGATTTTAAAACAAAAAGTGTTACTAGAGATATAGATGAACATTTTATAATGACAAAAGAAACCATCAGGAAGATATAATATGTATATTATATACAAAGCAAAAAAACTATATGTACTATATATACCTAAAGCAAAAATGGACAATTCAAGGGAGAAATCAATAATTCAATAATGATAATTGAAGACTTCAATTCCTCTTCTCCCTTCTTTCCTCCTTTCCTTCCTCCTGTCCTCTTCTGTTCCCTCTTCTTTCTCTCCCTACCCCCCTCCCTCCCTCCCTCCCTCCCTCCCTCCCTTTCTCCTTTCTTCCTCTCTCCTTCCTCTTTCTTTATCTTCAATATTGAAAGCCAGCAGCAATCCCTGTTGCGCTTCAAGTCTTACTTCCTCTTTTGCTATCAGGCAGAGAAAATTCTGCTTTTAAAGTTACCATGTGCTCGGATCAGCCCCACCATATAATCTCTCCCTTGCTTTACGAGGTTGCATCCTCATGGAAGTCATGTCTCCTTATTTTCACAAGTTCCCCTGTCCCCTCAAAAGGGAGTCATTATATAAGGCTGAAGATCATTGGGGGTCATTCTTACAGTCTGCTTATCCCTGTCTTATAGAAGTTCCCCTTGTGGATGACAGCATCTGCTCACCCCAGTAGAACTTCATCCTGATGTGGTCCTCCCTTCCTGACTGCCAACTGATGAGAACTTTGTCCTGTGCCCATCAGTTTATGTTCCCATGATCTTCACTTCCTGACTGTGTCTGGACTTGCTTAGCAAGCTTTCTTATATGTGTAAGTTAAATCCTTGTTATCTAACTATCTATCAATCATCAATCAATCAATCAATCAATCATCTACTTACTTACCATTTTCCTTTTTTTAGTATCAGGGATTGAACTCAAGGGTGCTTAACCACGGAGCCACATCCCTAGCCACTCCCCTGCTCAGCTTTTTTTCCCCTTTTTATATTTTATTTAGAAATAGGGTCTTGCTAAATTGCTGAGGCTGGTTTTGAACTTGTGATACTCCTGCCTCAGCCTCTCCAGCCACTGGGATTACAGGTGTGTGCCACTGTACCTGGCACTTACTTCTCATCTTACATCTCTCATCGATCGTCCTCCTGCTTCTCTTTCTCTGGTAGAACCTGATTACACCACACAGACTTTCCAGGTTATGATGATTAAATGAGTTAATATATGGAAACATGTTGGAAAAGTTCTGACTCATAGGGGCTCCTTGTAAGTTCCATGTATGTGTCAGTAGATGTTCTTATCCATGCTATTTTATGCACATCTGGATTGTAGCTTCTGTTAGCTGCATAGCATTGCAGAGCATACATTCTCTACAGTGTATTCATCTGGTCCTTTAGAGAATGCTCAGATTGCCTCTCGGGTCCCACTGTCACTCACACCTTGCAGCCAGTGATAGGGGAGAGTGTCTTGGGTCTGCCTTTCTAAGCTTCCCTGACTTTCAGTATTGCCTTGGTGTACCTGGTTCAGCAGGTGAACCTGAGGGGTTTATCCCTTGAACTCGTGCTGCCCCTAGACAAGAAAGCCATGGAATCACTGAGTTCACTGGATGCAGTGGCAGTTTTCACTTGCATTTCTTCTCAAGTTGTTCTCTACCTTTGGCCATTTTCCAGTGACCTAAAATGGCTGCCTTTAGCCTGGTTCTCCAGTTTGTACTCATCTCTATGGAAGGCATGCTTCTCATCTCACACGCCCTTTACTGGAAAGTGAGTCCTGGGAGATTTGCTCCTGGAACCCAGTCGCGGTGCCACAAAGAAGTACAGAGACCATATGGAGAGGCCATGTGTAGGTGTCCTGGCCAACAGCCCCAGCTGAGATCCCAGATGACAGCCAGCTTCCACCTGCAGACGCATGAGTGAGTGCGTCTCTAGATGGCTCCAGCCCCATCTGTTGAGTCTCCCCCCATGTTTGAATTTTCCCAGCTGAGGCTCCAGACATTGTGAAATACAGATAAGCCACCATGCTGTGCATTTTACAAACTCTGGGCCCACAGTTTGGGTGGGTTTAATAAAATGGTGTTCTATTATGCCACTAAATTTAAGGTGATTTGTTTTGCAGCAAATAGATACATTGAGGAACTTTGGAGTGTGGTGACTGCAATAATTTTCACAAAGTGGTGGGCACCTGGAAACAGAACTGCAGCCTACTTTTCTATTATTATTTAATAAGGAAATTGAATTCCATGTGCATGTCTCAACTTTGTATAACAGTGCATCCCAGGGTAGAATCTACCTGTTTGGTTTGCAGTTATTTCCACTCTGAAAGTTTGATTTATAACATAAATCCTAAGTGTTCTCAATACTACTAAAAAGGGAAGAAACATTTTTTAATTGTAAAAGTGCCTCTATTTCACTGGAAAGAATTACTCCAAAATTTAAATCTAATTTTGGTTCCATAAGATTTGTAGTAGTGAAGAAAGTCCTAGGCTGAGAAGCCATAGGGTCTGGGCTGGAGTTTGGTTGCATGAAGCAGGAC